AGTTCTATAAGCCTGCTGCTATGGAGGCTAATGTCTAACTGTTAGGTGTGTTTTGTTTGTCTTGTTTATGTCAACGTCACACTGCAAATTCACAGTTCGAAATGTGAACTATAAAGTTTTTCATGTACAAAAGTTGTTGTCAATGATGAGTATTGTACCTGACTTGCCTGGATATTGGCATGTTGACATAAACATTCTTAGGACACCTCTGAGACAACTAATTATAACAAGGGACTATAAACTAAAAACACAATTTTCAAGGCAACATAGCTACAACTCCTACCCTCCCTCTTTCAACCATATACTGTAAATGCATTTAATTTTGCAGTGGGAGGGAAAAAAGAGTAGTTTTATCCTGTGTTTGAAGTATACAGTTGAAGCAGGTCTACTATATACATGTAATACAGTAAAAAGTCTTGGTGAGAACCCTGATACCTAATATTATGTTAGAAATATGAAAAGTGTTTAACGTGTAGTTTAACATTAACAGTGTGTACATTGAATTTTCCTGACGACTTGTCCTTCTTTTGTGTTACAGGGACAGATGATCCAGTTCTAAGCTGGAAGAGGAAGAAAACTGAAGATGACCTGATAGAAATAAAACATGCTGTCTATCATATATCTTGTCTGGTGTTGATATGGAGTCTTTGTCTACTGATGAACTCAGGTTTTCGACAGATAAAAACATAACAAATTGAAGTAGGTGGTACAATAAATGGGAGGATTTGTCAGTTGTATCACAGTACAGACTCAAAGTTCAGCTATATTTATGTCACATTTATGTCACAACTATGCAACATAAATGTGACATAAATGTAGCTTTACTTTGAGTCTGTACTGTGAGCAAGACCAGAGCCTAGCTACCTTTTCACATTATACAGGAAAATGTAGCTGTGTGAACATGGAGGTGTCTTTGATATGTCTGTGTTTCTCTTGAAAACCTATGTTCTCTTGAAGACCGAATGTCCAGGTGATTCTATATGTATATGTCGTGAATCTTCCGAAGTTGTTGCGCTAAGGCCCTGGCCTTGAGTGATCTTTCAGTCTCTCCAATATTAGCCTGATTGCCAAAGTTATTTTAGCTGCTGAGTCTCTCTTGTCTACAAATACAGTAGTTTTGGTAGTTAGGCTACTCCAACATACGTTTCCTTACAAGGGCACTTGGTGTTCTGACCGTGACACTGCAAATGGCACCCGCCCCTTTTTTATTTTCCTAGATGAGCCAATATTTACATCACGTTGGCACCAGTAGAAATAGTTTAAAACAACGTACGCACACGATTTTACACAGAACAACACAACCAGAACGTATACATCGTGCCTCCATGTCAACTCATTTAAAGCTAGTATGCATTTAATGACAGGTGCCACAATGACATATTAGACTTCTTTCAAGTTTATTCAAGAAGGCAGAATGCGTAAGGTCGCAACTTGACGCAAAACAAGACAACCAAAACGTACATCGTGCCTCCATGTTTACAATTTATTGAAATAAATCGTCCATTTAATGGCAGGTGCCACAGTGACATGGCAGACTTCTTTCAAGTTTTTGGCAATGATTACCGTGTTTGCCAGCTGGTATAAACACACGGAGTAAAGTCAAGTTGTTGAAAACAACTTGTCACCACCTGAGAATTTAAGAACCCAACGTCACCACGACAACAACATCAACAGACTGATGTTGCCAATATTTTCTTCCGCTTTTTTTAAAACAAAGGAACGGGGAAGGGCTTTGAGTACCACTTACCGAATCCCCTCTTCTGTAGTTGGTCAGTCTTTTCAAAGTTTCCTTGATTCAAATTCCTTGCCTTTTACCTTTGGTGTCTGAAATGGAGCAGAAACTGCACACATTAAATACACACGTACGTCAAAAAGTCAAAGATTTCTTTCATTTGAAATATTTCAATTTTTGGTGCAGAAATGGTACATAATGCCCCTGTCAAAATAAGGGAAGAAAATGGCTACTTCAGTCTGTTGATGCTGCATGTTCCGATGAAGACGTTGGACCCTTGAAATTCTCAGCTGGTGAGTTGCTGTTTCGACACCTTGACGCTCTTATAATTTGTTTGGTCTACAGGGAAACACTACCAGTCATAGTTTACACGGCGGCCACGACGCACATTTTTACCACTCGAAAGGCCACGACACACCTGCCGACCGAGGCTGTATTAGTCTTTACCAGGCTTCGGGAAGCGGACATCGTGCCTTCATGTTTACAATTTATCAAATAAAGCAAGCATGTTATGGCAGGTGCCACAATGACTGGGTAGACTTCTTTCGAGCTTTAGTAAACATGCAGGCACGATGTACCTGTAGCAGCTTGACCTCGAAGCTATAAAGAGGAGCAATTTTACCACTGTCGGCAGTCTGCTTCAGATCAAGGCACTGTTGTCTTCAGGCCACCGGCAGACACTTCAGAGACAAAGTCGTCATCTTGACCCACCAAGTACACGGTGAGATACGAAGACCATCATGTTGCATATTACATTTTGGTCGTAATTATGCAATCAACAGCTATTCAGCGTAGCTCTACTAGTTTTTACTTTAAAAGCTTAAAAGTGTAAGACTTCAGAATCTTATGTCATGTGGGAATTTTGATTCTCAATTTATTTGAGTCGCTAGTTTATCTACTGCCACTCCTGTCCAGAGGAGTGTGCATAATTAAACATGTACATCACTAGATCTAAGTAAATGCCTTCACATATGCAGCCGTACAGGTTGTCCAAGTGACCATTCGGCCAACTAGAAGTGCTCGCTAGTTGCCTCATGATACATGGCTCTGCAGTGTAGTGTGTCGATTTGCCTGAAAATTGGATATACTACTTTTAACGATCTATGAGTGAGCAAACGATCTATGTATAAAGCGTTCTGAGTGACACGCTGTAACCATGACGGTAAGGGCACCAAGAACGACTGTCTTTTACTGTCTTTTACTCTGACTCTGCGGCAATCTTGAACTTTTGTCTGAATGTCAAGTGTTAGTTCCTCGGCCAAAGCAACTGAGGAACAACAACAGAAAATAGTTTTGAATAGCAAAGTTCTTATTCACAACCACTTGTCAAACAAGTGGTTGGTAAATGACTGAATAACAAAGACAAGTTTAAAAAACATTGCTATACAATTATTCACCAGCTTGACTATTTGAAGTATTTTCAGAAAATAGAGTTTGTCTAACTTTGTTCAAGAATCCCCATCCGTGGTGTTCAAGAATCCCCATCCGTGGTGTTCACGGTCATGATTATGAGCAAAAAAACTTTGAACTATGAAAATATTTAAACTGGCGGAGTCTAGTGTTGGCGTTCTTCAACGTTGCCTGCAAAGCACCTTTGATTTCCTAAACATTCCTTGAGTGAGCGAGTTTTTCGTTCTCACGCGGGTCCGGTGACAAGCAGTTATGCTGACACATTCTGCAACCAATCACAGCTAGCTTAGCATTAACATAAAGTCCATGTGTCTATTTTCTGTAGCGTCGTATACGTGTAACCCGCTAAAGTTTTTTGTTCTAAAATACAGAGTCACCGGACAGGACGAAGGTTGAAGATGACCCGTCACTTTGCGCTTGTCCTGGCTCTGACACTTCTGGCTGGAGCCGTGTATCCAGGTAAACATTTCTGTACATGTATCTATCGGTATGGCCGGCATAACCGCCCTTCGGCTCAACACACCAGCTTTGCAGGCACGCGGCGTGGCGACCTGTTATACCCTGTACACCCAATCTTTGCACATTTAATTGCAGGCTAGGAGCTGTTTTTAGCTTTCTGGTGATGATGCCCCAACTGTGCTTGGCGGCAACGACTTTCACTCTACGATAGTTCTTGCAAAATATTCGAGTTTTTGAACACCTTAATCCTTGGTTGATAACTCTGATATTTGAAGGCATGACTGTTTCTTGTTCTTTTCTGGGCTGGTATATACGTATCAGATACTTAGTGGTTGTTACGTCAACCATTTTATTAGTCATTTTGTGCATCATGATATAAAATGCAAAAATTAAAGAAAGAATTTATCATTTCGGTTTTTAAACATTTGTTTCTCTTCGAGTCCAGTCCATGGCATTGACTGTAAAAGTACTGTAAGTTGAAATGCGTAGTTTTTGAGCAAGTCTATAACATGCAGGCAGTCAGTTGAAATATGATTTTAACTTATTTTCGTCCACAAGCCAAGAGCGTGCCTGCCCAGGAACAACGTCCGAATGATGGGCGACAACGTCCTGACTCCGAGAAGGCGAAGGTTCTGCTGGAAGAACTCGAAGGTGACCAGCTACACTATTATTATATACTTAGGTATATATCAAATACAAAAATTACCCCCGTCCTATTATCTTATATGTCTTATATAAAACCAACTCATGGCAAGAAAGAAAGACCGGCATTTATGCCGGGGTATAAATATGTATATTTCCTTTTGTTTATTTTAGTACAGTTTGCTTAGCCTATAAGAGGCTTTGGGATACGGCTGAAAAGAAAAGAATATTTGGCCAAATAGAGAGATAACATGCCAAGGGAGTAGGTCCGCTAGATAGTACAGTTTGCTGATTATTTGCTACAGTTTGCTACTTAACAATGCTAAACGTATTTCCTCGTTCTGTCCGCCTGTCCGTTCTGTCATCTTAATTTTTAAAGACGAATTTCTTTTTTATTTCACACAGAATTGTTGGAAGAAGAAGGGATGGCGAACAACAATGGCGGCAGTGATGTTGATGAAATGGCCCGACTTCCCGAGAAAAGAGATCCTGAACCAACTGGTGAGTGTGAATATGTTATGATTGTAATTTTGAATGGTAGATAGCTCTTGTGCTCGGAAAAAATTAAAGTCAGTTTTCCCCACCCCCATCCCCCATTAGCTTTTTTATAGACCTGCAGGCCCATTTTTTAAATAAGTTTTTACTTGATCATTAATTGTCTCCCCAACGGTAACTAAAGATAAGACTGGGTGGATAATACAATCAACAAATTAGATTCATGCAAATGAGGGTCTTATTTGCTTCATCATTGCTTAAACAATGCGAAATATCTGTAATTTGTAAGTCGTAAAGGCGAAGGTATGTGGTCGTTTCACTTAGCTTCCTGACCGGTCCATTGATATCTTGCAGATGCTGACTGCTTGCTCAAAACAACGGACACCACCTACGAATACCAATGGGACTTGCCCCAGCTTACGGGAACGCGCTTCACCTTTCAAGTATCGACCAACAGCGATGCCCACATCGGCCTGTCACCAGCCAACCAGGACGCTACGGACATGTACGAAATCGTCCTCGGTGGATGGGGGAACACAAAGTCGGCCATACGCCGGGGAAAGCTAGGCTCCGACGTCACAAATGTCGACACACCAGGTCAGCTTTAGAATCTGTTTGTTTTGGAATCTGAAATTGTCCTTCAAATGCTGGTTGTTATAGATAGTTGAGTGTTGTGCATGCTCAAGAACAAGTTCCATGTTTTATCTTTGTGTCAATATCCCTCACTGCATATCTTGAAATGAAAATTAAAAGTTTGATTGACGTCAACCTTCCCTACAGCTATCAACTCGCCAACAGAGTACAGGACCTTTTGGATAAACTTGGCCTCAGACGGAACCATTTCTGTCGGAAAGGGGGTGAGTCTCTGCCGTTCATGT